GAGCGCGGCCGGCCAATCAGCGGCGCCGCAGCGCAGATTCTCCTCATCGGCTTGTTATTGGGGCTGGCTGAAGGGGGGGGGGGGCCGCCGCCGGAGAGGCTCCACTCCGTCAGTCACTCAGCCAGAGGCCGCCGAGCCCGGGCCGCCCGGAGGGGGCGGGGAGCAGAAGAGGCGGAGCCCAGCCGCGGACGGGCCCCCCCCCCCACGGCCGCCGCCGCCACCTCCTCCGCGGCTGTCGTCGTCGTCGACGCTCGCTTCGGTGGGAAGGAGGCGCCGCTCCTCTCGGCGGCCCATCGGTGCCTTCGGGCGGGCGCGCGCGCGCTCCTCTCTCTCGCTCTCTCACGCCCCGGCTGAAGGGAAGGAAGGAAGACGGGAGGCTGCGTGTGAGTTTCCCCGGCTGTTTGTGGGTGGTGGTGGTGGTGGGGTTGGGGAGAAGGGCTGGGGACCCTCCGAGGCTCCCCCGCGCGCCCCCCTCATCCTCCCCCTGCTCTTCTCCCACTCCCTCCTCGGTCTCCCCCTTCGGCTCGGGCTGGGGGGGGGGCTTGGCCCTGCTGCTCCCGCCGCCTCTGCGGGAAAGGTGGCAACTGGTCGCCGTCCTCACTTTTATGATGACTGCACCAGGCTCGGGTTATGGAGAAGGAAAGGAGTTGCTTTTTCCAAAGGCGCTGGGCCCTGGGATCTCCCTCCACAATCCGATCTCCTTCTCCTCTTCTATGGAGAATGACAGATATTGGTTGTTTCAATGTGCTGGGTTGAGTTATGGAGGAGGAAAGGAGTTGCTTCTCTAAAGGGTCTGGGCTTGGGGGGGTGGGGGGTAAATCCGACCTCCTCTTCTTTCTCTATAAGGGATCACAGATATCGCTTGTTTAAATGTGCTGGCCCGGGTTATGGAGAAGGGAAAGGCATTGCTTCTCTAAATGCACTGGGCTCGGGGCAGGAAAGAATGGAAGATACTGCTTATTTTAGGAGGCGGCGGCAAGAAGGGAGCTTGCAAAATGTCCTCCTGCTCCCCCCTCCCCTTTCCACCCAAAAAAACACCGAAATTCTTCTAGGCTCTTCACTCTGTCACTCCATTCAGAGTGGTTGGGTTGTGTGTTGTTGTGTGTGTGTGTGTGTGTAGGCCAAATGGCAGCTGCGGCCTGCAGGCTTGCTCGTGGAAGGAGAGACTCTTAGGGGTTTTCTTTTTTGGGGGGGGGGGAAAAAAGTGAGGCTGGGGAAGAGGAGGAGGAAGTTTTCCAGCTCACAGAGCGAGGAAATTAACCTGAAGTTCGTTTTTGTGCTGTGGGGAGGGAGGTAGAGGCAAAGCTTGATGGGGAAGTGACTTGGAAGGAAGAAGTGGAGGGGGGGGGGAGTGTCAGGGGAAGGACTTTGGAGGCTGGCTGGGGGCCGGGGTGAGACGCGGAGGGGCATGGATCAAGGGTGGTGTCAAGCAGTTATTGAGAGGGGCAGCTAGTGCTGTGATCCCCTGGTACCCTTGGGATCAAGCCCCAGACGGAGAGAAGTAAACATGCACCAGGTCGGGCTGGGAGGTTGGCGAGCGGAGGGTGTGTCTGCGAGAGTGACTGGCTGGTCGGGCCCTTTGAGCCGGGAGCAGCTTCCTGATGGTTTCAGAGTCAAGTTTGGAGGGGGGGGGGGAGGAAGGTGAAGGGTGACCTGTCGGGTCTCTCCTTGGCCAGGCATGCCCTCCTTCCCTTGATCGCCTTCTTTCCTTCCTCCTTCTCGAAGGTGTTGTGGGCCTGCACGGAGCGAGTGTCTTTCTTCCGGGGGGGGGGTGCTGCGAGGAAAGAGGGGGGCGCTGCAAATTTGGATGGCAAGCGGCTGTTGGTGGAGCAGGACTCCATTTGGTCCACTCCGTCCCCGGAGTGAAGGATGGAAGAGGGCACGTGTGTCTGCTAGGGAGAAGGGGTGTATCTAGTAGTCACCTAGAGATTCAAAAGAGAACTCAGCTGTCGAGAACTCTGCCCTATTTCTTGCAAGCATATGGATCTGACTGTTTTTTCCCCCTCTTGCTTTCTAGTATTTTTTGCAGTTGTGGTAAAGAGACATCTTTTGAGCTGGAATCCCTCAAATAACCTTTAAAGATGAAGGTAAGCATCCGTGCGAGCTGCGAATCGCTCTTTCGGTTCTTTTTCCTTGGGTTTCTTCCTTTTCACCTTGGCTCTCTGGAGCTCCTGGGTCACTCTGTGTTCTTTCACTTTTAATACATTTTAAAACGGAAAATAAGCATCCTGTTGAGCACATGCTTGGTGACACATGGGTTACTTAGCCAACAGACTCATCTTTGATTGGTCTACCCTAGATGCTACCCGAATCAGGAAGCAATCAGGTAGCTTAATTACAGCAAAGTGCAGTGTGGCCTTGTGAAATCAGCTGAAGTTAAAGAAATTATCCTATTTGCTGCCTGAAGTTACACTAGCAAACTAGCTAAGTTCTCCGGATTCCTGCCTCACAAACTTTACTGAAACTATATGAAACATTTTTTTTTTGGCCTTGCTTATCTGGCATAGGTTTTGTAGAACCAGTAGAAGCGATTTGCAGAACTAGTGTTTGCCTTTGTAAATTGTTTCTGTATAGAGATACACACCCCTCCTGGAAGTATATGTCTCACTCATGTCTTTTGATGTATAGTTCTTAATAGTTTTGGACTTGTCATACGATGTGCTGTTTTCATTTATAGATGAAAAAGATGAATCAGTCATAGTATTAGTGGAGAGTAGGCAAAAGGCACAAGTTTTGCATGCTTGCATTGACTGGTAGGATATTTTTTCCCAATAGCCTACACAAGAAAGTAATTAAAGTGAGATCTGCGCCTCATGTACAGAAACTGGTACAGAAACTGATACTTAAAGTATCAGAACATCTCTTCCATGTTGGAATTACTTGCAAAACAACAACACCATTACGTCAAGTTGATTTTGGCATTTTTCGTCTGAGGTGCAATTCAGTAAAAGTTAAAATAGCATTTTTCTAACTTTACCAAGATGGGGGGGAAAGAGAAGTTATGTTCTGCTCTTTCATTGAATTGTGAGAATGCCTGTCATTTCTTAACTGACGCTTCCCCGAATTGCTGGGACAGTGGTGGGGTCAATAAAAATCACTCTCTGACTGAACCTGACATTAATAAACCAGCTCCACACTAGAGCAGAATAGTATGGTCCAAGAGTCCAGACAAGTTGTGGTACTAAGCTTTCATACATTTATATATGTGGCTCATCTGATAGCTAGGACCCTGTTGCTAACTGTGCCATTGTTAGCTTGTGTGGGGGCATCCAGGGGTTGAGGAAAGTGAAATGGAAACATTAAAAAAAGGAAAAAGTAATGTCACGAGGCACTGCTTTTTTCTGTTGTTTGTTAAAATCTGTATTCCATATTTAGTTTCTGTTGCTAGTGCCCCTTTGCCTGAGAAACTGTATGAGGAACATTGGCTGAAGTATTTAATGTCTAATACTATCTTTACTAATCTCTATAGACCGGGGAGCATCTTTTCCAAAAACCTCAGACCATAAAATGCAGCTTCATTTCAGAAATGCATACTCTGGCAAGATGGTTCATGCCATGTTTCCATTGCCTGTGTTGTTGTTTTTTGTTCCCCTGAGCAGGCTGTCTTTCCAGGCCGGAGCCCAACAGCATGGGGGAAATGGCCTGGTGAAAACTTTTTAAGATTAGCGCAGTTGCCAAAATCCAATCCTTCCCCTTCTTGTGACAGTTTTTCTTGAAGAAATCCACAAAACAAGTTCGACTAACCTCTGGAAACGTATCTCATGGTATTCTCTGAAATATGGACTGCATCCCACTCCAGTTATCAGGGAGCTGTTTTAGCCTTAGACCCGCCCCTGACAATGGTATGTCCCCGGAGACCTTAAAGATTGTAAGAACATAAGAGACGCCAATCTTGGATCAGGCCAAAGGCCCATCCTGTCCAACACTCTGTCACACAGTGGCCAAAAATACCAGGTGCCATCAGGAGGTCCACCAGTGGGGCCAGGACATTAGAAGCCCTCCCACTGTTGACCCCCCCCCCCAGCACCAAGAAGACAGAGCATCCCTTGCCCCAGAGCCCCTATCTCTACCTTGTGGCTAATAGCCACTGATGGACCTCTGCTCCATATGCTTATCTAATTCCCTTTTGAAGCCGTCCATGCTTGTAGCCGCCACCACTTCCTGTGGCAGTGAATTCCACGTGTTAATCACTCTTTGGGTGAAGAAGGACTTCCTTTTATCCGTTCTAACCCGACCGCTCAGCAATTTCATGGAGTGCCCACGAGTTCTTGTATTGTGAGAAAGGGAGAAAAGGACCTCTTTCTCTACCTGCTCTGTCCCATGCATAATCTTATAAACCTCGATCATGTGTCCCCTCAGTCGTCATTTCTCCAAGTTAAGGAAGAGAACAGGATTTACGTTTTTCCGTTGTGTTACTTATGGCCGTGATAAAAACGGATTCGCTGTAAGCCCTCGGAAGCATTTGATTGATCAGTCATTTCCAGTCTCCCTTTTCCCTCTTCGTTCAGGCAGCGGATGAGCCTGCCTACCTGACAGTGGGGACAGATGTCAGTGCCAAGTACCGGGGTGCCTTCTGCGAGGCAAAAATTAAGACTGTGAAGAGGCTGGTGAAAGTCAAGGTAAGACTGAAACGTTAAGGACAAGTGCGTTGAAGGCCTCAAGGGAATAGGAAATTGGTTTCCTGGACTGTTTATGTGGCTTTCCAAGGTTTTGGAGCAGAGGTCCTCCCGGTCCTACCTGAGAACCTTTTTATGTTGATCTTTGTGTGTGTGTTTTGTGAAGTGCCACCATGTTGCTTCCAATTTATGGCAGCCCTATGAATTAGCAACCTCCAAAACGTCCTCTCATTAACTGCCTTGCTCAGGTCTTGCAAACGGAGGGACGGTGCTTTACCGCTTGGCGAACACCGGCATGTCTGATGCAGCCTTTGTGGGCTATATGTATGTCGCTTGGCCTCCCGGCTTGTTTTAAAAACGAAAACCTTTCTGAAAGGTATCGAATAATAGGATGTTCTTTAGCCTTGGAGTGCTCAGATCTACAGTCGAGGGATCGTTTCTAGGGCCATCTAATAGGGTGCAATCTGCTGGGTTATCAGACGGGCAGGCCTAATGGTCCAGTTGCTGGTGTAGCAAAAAAACAGTGACTTGCTCAGTCATTGATCACAGGAAAGTGTATTGCTAATGGATGCGAGTTAATAGCCCAGTTGCAGGTAAAGTTGTAATAGTGCTTGGTAGCTTGTCTCGTCATTGATAGCGTTTTGTGGAACTTTTAAAAGGCCAACAGATTTACTGTGGCACAGACTTTCTTGGAGCTGAGTCTTGCTTGACAGATTTGTATGAGAGTTTAGGCTTGCTGCTGCTTTGTGCGAGGTTGGATTTAGGCTGTGTGTTTTTATTCCTGGCTGAGGAGCCAGGTAAAAGTCACATGCTGAGCTGTCAGTTTGAAGTTATGTTTGAAGTTAAGTTGTCACGTCATGTTTCGTTCTTCATATGTACAGTCCTTCAGCTCTGAACACATTTATTTAGTTGACGGCAGTTTTATTTAGATTTGCTTTTGCTTAAGTCTACTGTCAGTCCCAGATTGTGACTTTAAATTTTGGTCTTTATGATCTGAGTATGTTTTATGTGTGTTTTAGCTACGTTGTAAGATGCCTTGAGCTCTGTAATGGAAGAAAAGCAGTTAATAAATTTTTAAAAACAAAAAAAGGTATTTGGGAGCATGCTGTAATAATTTGGATGCTGGCACATATGATAAAACCAAAGAGAGTACAGAGTACCAGGAACCACACGAAAGAAAGGGCTACATACTGGATCGTGTGGCCTCTTTGGTATCAGACCTGTACATGCAAGATTTTCAGAATTATATATGAGAAACTGGGTCACAGACATGTGATTTAAATAAACTTTATCCTCTATGTTTGGCTGATAAATAACAATTTACTACAACTGTTCAACGCCATTCTGCAACGGGACTGTAACAGAAACAATTCTGAAGAAGATATCAAACCAGTGTTTTAAGTAGTCGGCAGACTCATCAATTGCTATACTTTTCCTTTTGTTATAACTCACTGTATTATGCATTGAAATTTTTTTTATATATCTATTTGAATGGTCATACATTACTGTATTTTGTACTGTACGTACGGACTGTTTTCACTTATTATACTGTACTTTTTGCGCTGTATAAATACTTGGTTTGCACACAGTCCAGTACATAGTCTTTTCTTTTGTAAGGCCTCTGGTATTCAGTACTCTCTTTGGTTTCACACAGAGGTCCCCCCCCCCTTTTTTTTTCTTTGCTCTTTCTCCCACACATTATAAAACTGTATGTAATATTTGATCAGGGTGCAAGTAATACGGTCTTGTTTGATGTTTCTCTCTATAGGTGGCTTTAAAACAAGATAATTCAATGCAGTTAGTGCAAGATGACCAAGTGAAAGGACCTTTAAGGGTATGTACGCTGCATGTCTTCTACAAAAACAGGAACTGTTTTGTTTTTGTCATTTTTCATTTGATGACCTGATCCAAACCCTACTAAATAATGGCCAAATTATATTTTATTTTCAGTTCTGTCTTGAAACTGCACGAAACGTGTGCTTTTCCCCACTGAAATGTTATTGCAGGAGAGAACAGTTCTATAAGTAGGGTAGTCAAAAAGTGTGGAAATTAATTATCTGTTTAAAAAAGAAAAATGTAATAGAAAGCAGGATTAATTTCTACGCCAGCTGTACATTTATGTAACAGCGTAAAAAAAACAACAACTTCCAAGGCTCGATACAAAGTTTCCCAGTTCAGCTCTCTATAGAATAATTCTCTATTGTGATTTTGTGATAGCAGACACATACTGTTCAGTTACCAGGCAAAACATAGTGGCTTCTGAGCCAGTGAAAGTCATTGTGCTTCCAGCTTGTTAGCATCACTGGGACTTGTGTCTCTGGACTGGGGCATTAGCCTTCTTTCTCTAAACGGGTTTACTGGTTGCGTTTCAGCTTTTCTCTTGGGTATGTCTATGGCTTTCCTATGGGGCTGAATGTGTCTTTAAAAGTTAAGTTGCCCTGTTGGATGCGGCCATTGTTCCATGCCAAATGGGAAGGCCCTATGCAGCATTCCCATGTATATCACCGGCATGTGAGCAGTCACATCATCCCAAGGGACTAAGAGTGCACTAAAATTCCCCAGTGCAGCCTGTGCTAAATCTGATTACCACAAGAGAATCTGAGACTCACTGTTGCTCAAGCAAGCAAGTCTTGTTCTCTGGGTCCTGACTCCATGGCATGAGGGAAGGCCAAGACTTTTGGAGATGACATTAGTGCAGTACTCCTCTGAGAATAAGAAGAGATTGGATTTATACCCCGCCCTTCACTCGGAGACTCAGAGCAGCTTACAGAACCCTAACCCCACAACAGTTGCCCTGTGAGGTAGGTGGGGGCTGAGAGAGCTCTTTCAATAACTGCCCTTTCAAGGACAGATCTGACAAAACTATGACTTGCCCAAGGTCATCCAGCAGCTGGAAGTGGAGGAGTTGGGGAATCAAACCTGGTTCTCCCAGATTAGAGTCCGCGCACTTAACCAGTACACCGAACTGGAAGAAGAGTGGAAGAAGTAGAAACTAACCTTGTGTTTTAATCCAGAAAAAAAAGCGCCTCTGTGATCGGTTGTCAGAACTTCAGAAACTGCTGTGTAAGAGCTATGGTTTGTTTTTGTTTTTTTTAAAAAAGGTAAAAGTATTTATCAACAAGGATATCTAAACTATAACATTCGTCATTACAGGTTGGTGCAATCGTTGAAACCAAGATGCCTGATGGATCCTTTCAAGAAGCCATTATCAGCAAACTGACAGATGCCAGCTGGTATACTGTAGGTGAGTGGTTGTCTCGATTGGCTCAGAGTTCCATTGCCAGCGTACATTCATTGTCATGAGGAGGGCCATTAAGTTTCTTCTGTGGCGTTGGCACCAAGACGCAGTTCAGTTCTTCTCCGGCACAGGCACACTGCAGCCATTCTCGTAACCCTCCGCCTTATTTTCCATTAAAACACAGCACTGGTGTAAACAAAAGGCACGAGACTTATCCCAGTGGTTTGGGATTGGGAAAGGTAACTTGTAACCAGCTCAGATTTGTTGTTTTTTGTCACATTAAGGCAGATGTCAGGTTACTATGGATACATCTGGACAGGTCAGGAAAAGAGTTATACTTCATCTACGGGCTTTCCCCCAACTCACTGCAGTTGAAGTCCATGAAATCTGTGCGATAGGCCAAAGTGTTGGTCTCTGCATTTTCTGTGAGGAAAGAAAAAAGTGCAGCACCTCTTATGAAGGTTTAATGGACCTCGATCATCAAGAAGTAGTCCTTCTGAAGTCCTTGCTTGCTGGCCTGTTGATTTGGTGACCCGGAGCTCTCTGTGCTTTCTCTGGCTGGGGCGGAGTCCTTTGACTGCTCCCTTGTCTTTAAAGAAGAAGAGGAGATTGGATTTATGCCCCGCCCTTCACTCGGAGTCTCAGAGTGGTTTACAATCCCCTTCTCCTCCCCACAGTAGACACCCTGTGAGCAGTGTTCCTCTAAGCTGAGTTAGTGTGAGCTAGCTCACATTTTTTTAACCTCCGGCTCACACATTTTTGTCTTCGCTCAGGAAGGATGGCTACCGAGCAAACTTATGCAGTAGCCAAATTGCTTGCTCACAATTTTAATGCCAGTAGCTCACAAACTAGAATATCTGCTCACAAGACTCGACAGCTTAGAGGGAACATTGTCTGTGAGGTACGTGAGGCTGAGTGAGCTCTGAGAGAAAAGCTCTGAAATTACTTATGACTGACCCAAAGTCACACCAGCAGCTGCAAGTGGAGGAGTGGGGGAATCAAACCCGGTTCTCCCAGATCAGAGTCCATGCACTTAATCACGACACCAAACTGGCTCTCCTGTTAAGGTATACAACTTTTGTACTGGAGGAAAAGCTTCTGGAGCCAGTTGGTGTAGTGGTTAAGTGCGCGGACTCTAATCTGGGAGAACCGGGTTTGATTCCCCACTCCTCCACTTGCACCTGGCTGGATGACCTTGGGCAAGCCGTGGTTCTGATAAGAGCTGTCCTTGAAAAAAGAGCAGTTTCTGTCAGAGCTCTCTCAGCCCTACCGACCTCACAGGGTGTCTGTTGTGGGGAGGGGAAGGCAAAGGAGTTTGTAAGCCGCTCTGAGACACCTTCGGTTAGTGAAGGGCGGGGTATGAATCCAATCTCTTCTAGTCTAGTCCTTCTCCCCCCTTTTGTGATTTAAATTTCAGTGTGACTTGGCCGTTAAGAGTGCTGAACTATGATCCAAAGGCCGGTGTTCAAATCCTGAAGTGCCATGAAGCTAAATAGAGAGCTTTGGGCTAGTTGCTCATACTTATCCTAAGACTATCCCACAGGATTGTTGTGAGGATAAAAAAGGGGCAGGGAGTTGCATTTGGCTCCTCAGAGGAAAAGCAGGATAACGATGTGCAGAGGGAGTATTTTCCTTGATGGGGCGTTCAGTTTTTTTTTTGTAACTGTCATCTGCACCCTGAGCTGTAGACAAATCACGCTGCACTGATAGTTTACTTTTGAGCATCCTTATCTGGGAGCCTGGCACCTCAGCACAAATCCTGTAGTATTCAATGAGGACAAAGAGTGATGAACACGTGGAATTCACGGCCACAGGAGGGGGTGGCGGCCACAAGCACGGACAGCTTTAAGAGGGGATTGGGTAACCATATGGAGCAGAGGTCCATCAGTGGCTATTAGCCACAAGGTATAGATAGGGACTCTCGGTCTATGGCAAGTGATGCTCTGTATTCTTGGGGTTTTTTGGGGGGGGGCAACAGTGGGAGGGCTCCTAGTGTCCCGACCCCACTGCTGGACCTCCTGATGGCACCTGGGTTTTGGCTGCTGTGTGACAGAGTGTTGGACAAGATGGGCCATTGGCCTGATCTAACAGTGGCTTCTCTTATGTTCTTATGTCACATAGGTATCTCTAGATGCAGTTGGCTGACTAGGGTTCAGCTCGACTTCCTTAAGATTCACTCACCTTCTGTAAGAGAGTCAAATTTAATGTTTTGCTTTTCAATTATTGTAGTTTTCTTTTGAATAGAGGAGGAGGGGTGGAATTGTTTTGAAGTTGAGGAACAGGAGGCTGGACATAGCTTGGGGTGGTTAATCCCTTGCCCGGTCACTTCTGGCAAGAAAGAATCTCCTCTGGGCAACTTGTTGCAAAGGCTTTGTGGCAGGGTGAACCCCCCCCCCCCCATAAGGTGGAAAAAATGTTTGCAGTCTATAAACTTCTATGAATGCTTCTAGAGCCAGCATGGGAAGAAGAAAGAACTGAAGCTTCTGCGTGACTGTGAGCCACTCTTGATTTACGTCTAGATTAGGATGTTGTTCAAACAGAACCGGTCACATAATTGTGATACGTAGCATTGCACTCGGCTATTTTCAACGTGGCTTGTATGGTAGATGCAAATCAAGGTTTTAAAAATATGTAGTATTAATCTGCACACGGATGCATCTTGTCTGTCTTTGGTTGACGATGATGATTGAGGAGCTTAGAAAATGGCTTTGGAAGTCTGTGTTGAAACATTATAGGTAGTAAAGTTAAGAGGGTGAACACGGACTTTTACTGGAAGCCTCTTTGTATTGGGACAGGGAGCAAACGCGGTTACAAAGGACATGTTTTACATGCAGCAGAATCTGCAGTGAAGAGATTTTAGGATTCAGGAAGACCCTCACCAAGACACTGGAGAGCCAGTTTGCTGTAGTGGTTAAGTGCGTGGACTCTAATCTGGGAGAACCAGGTTTGATTCCCCGCTCCTCCACTTGTAGCTGCTGGATGACCTTGGGCAAGCCATAGTTCTGACAAGAGCTGTTCTTGAAAAAGAGCAGTTTCTGTCAAGAACTCTCTTAACCCCACCTACCTCACAGGCAATGTTCCCTCTAAGGTGTGGAGTCTTGTGAGCAAAAATTCTGCTTTGTGAGCTACCAGCATTAAAGTTGTGGGTGAGTGATTTGGCTACTGCTCAAATTAGTCTGCTCTGGAGCCATCCTTCCTGGGCTAAGACAAAAATGAGTGAGCTGGAGGCTAAGAAACTGTGAGCTAGCTCACACTAACTCAGCTTAGAGGGAACACTGCTCACAGGGTGTCTGTTGTGGGGAGGGGAAGGAGTTTGTAAGCTGCTCTGAGACTCCCTTGGGTAGTGAAGGGCGGGGTATAAATCCAATCTCTTCTCTTCTTCTCTTCTCCTGTTTGTTATTTTTTATTTTACTTATCCCTTGCCTTACTTCCTAAAGGGTACCAAAAATGGCTTACACCAATCTCCATTTTATCCTCACCTGTGAGGTAGGTTAGACTGAGAGTGTGTGGCTGCCCTGCCGCCAAGGTTATCCCCTAAACTTCCATGGCAGGGATTCCATGTCACATAGGTATCTCTAGATGCAGTTGGCTGACTAGGGTTCAGCTCGACTTCCTTAAGATTCACTCACCTTCTGTAAGAGAGTCACATTTAATGTTTTGCTTTTCAATTATTGTAGTTTCCTTTTGAATAGAGGAGGAGGGGTGGAATTGTTTTGAAGCTGAGGAACAGGAGGCTGGATCCTAGTCTGACACTAACCACTAGACCCCACTCACTCTCAGTGTTTATACTCCTATGACCCCCCCCAAAAAGAACTAGTGACTCCTATTCATTTTACAATGGAGAATAAACTTGCCATACAAAATGAAGTATTGCCGTTGGATTTTGAATTAAAGGGCTTTTCTTCCTTTTACGAAGAGGATTTGTTAGCTTAAAATGCATTCCACGTTATTGAAAGATAATTGCATAAATTTGGAACAGTCTTCACCCCAATGGAACAATAATTCATTATGCAAGTTGCTTCATTCAAGGAGTTCCCTTTGCAGACTTAATACTTGAGTAAACAGTATTCTTGGGAACAATTTTTTTAACGGTTCTAGGATTGTTTCCTGTGAGTCTCAAGGACAAGATTAATTTGATTACCTCAGCCTGCAGTGTTATATTAAGAAACAGCAATCAAAATGGGCTAATAATCAGGAATTTATTTTGCTGAACTTTGAGCAGGTGGTTAAGTAGAAAAGGGGTGCCAGATTCCCCACTCCTCCACTTGCAGCTGCTGGTGTGACCCTTGGTCAGTCACACGTTCTCTTTGAGCTGTTCTCTCAAGGACAGCTCTGGAAAGAGCTCTCTCAGCCCCACCTACCTCACAGGGTGTCCTTTGTGGGGAGGGGAAGAGAAAGGAGTTTGTAAGCCGCTCTGAAACTCTGAATGAAGAAGTGGGGGGTATAAATCCAATCTCTTCTTCTAAATCTGAACTGTGTGGCTGTCTTGATCCCTGTAGGGCTCCAAGAAATGTTCTGTTCTTTGCCCAGGTTCTGCTAGCTTGCAGGATATGTTCTCAGACGTTTGACAGGCAGTGAAAGACATTGAATTATCTCAGGCCTCTGGAAATTTTGCTGAAGTGTGTGCATTTGGCAGATGTTGGCAGGGTGTCATGGAGTTCTTGCCGTGGAGCTTTCCAGGTGGACTGCTTGTCTTCCTCTTGCGTTGTCATTGTTCCGCAGCTGGTCTCTGGATATATGCGCAGGCCCCGAGTTCTAATCCATTTGCGTGTGTTTTCTCACATTTAGTGCACTCTTTCACCCACAAAGGCGCTCAAGGTGGTATACCCGGTGTTCCCTTTTTCCACTTTATAATCACAACCGACCTGTGAGGTAGGTTACGTGGAGAGAAAGTGACTGGCCCGGCGTCATCTAGTGGGCTTTGTGGCCGAATTGGGGCTTGGAAACCTGGGTCTCTCCGCCATAGTCTGAATTTAATTACTGCACCACCCAGATTTGTTGTGCCT